GCTATATGAAAAACACGCAGTGTGATTTATCAAATTTGCTGGTGTTTGTCACATCATTCTTTTGTATTTCATTTTTATTAAAGTTTGCCAGGAGCTGTAATAGATGCGAGCAGTGCAGGCCAAACAGTGGGTAATCCTCTAAGGATTCAATCCGAGCCTCTGTTTGATTTGTAAAGCTGGCTTTTGAGCATAGGTGCACCACATGTTCTCCAAACCGACAACATATTGCCTGTGGCAAAATTTGAATTGTACATCTGAAGCAGTACTGAGCCCCTCTGTTTATCACTGCCATGGTGTTTCAACGTCTTATATTTTTTAAGGCTCTGAGGCAAAGATTCAAACCATGAGTTTGATTTCTCCTTTTAGCTCTTCTTTTGTGCTTTTCTGGGCATGGATTTTATTTTAATTTTAGATAGCTTCAGTGATGAAGTGAGTTTTGTCTGGAACACTGTCCAGGTTGCCCTAAGTTGCGCTAACAGAGGCAGACACCGTGACATTGGAATTCAGGCACACCAAACTAGTCAAGTTCATACTTACTAAGCAAGTGTTTCCACAGAACACTCTAGCAAAAGAACATAAGAAGAACCTTCTGGATCAGACCAATGGTCCATCTATTCCACCATCCTGTTCTCATAGTAGCCCTCCTGATGCCTGTGGGAAACTTGCAAAGTGGACATAAGCGCAACTCAGCCCACCTGCCACTCCCAGCGACCGGTACTCAGGGGCATACTGCCTATTGCTAGGACTTTAAAATTATTGATTGGTCTAGAGCTGCATAGGGGTGATAGCACACAAACAGCCAGCGACTCCCCAAACCTGTGGGTGAGTGGAATAGGGGACGCATCACCTGGACCACTAGCTGACAGACGAGTGTAGTGTTTTATTATTTAGCAAGAAAATAAATAAATGATGAACATCCTTCTCACCCAGAAAGAGTTTAAACACAAGTAGAAGAAGACATTCGTCACCTCTGGAGGTGGGAATTCTACCTCACAGCAGGTAGCTGTGGGTTCTCCTCCTTGCTCTTGTCAACTTCTCTTGTCTTGCACAAATCATGACATTAAACTTCAATCTCTGTTTGGTCAGGAACCTCTAAATGGGCATCGCCCCTTTCCTGGAGGGGTGTGTGTTAATAATTAATTCAATTTTTGCAATAAAAAAACAAAACCCCTGACCATTCCTCGCTTGTTGTCCTACTGCCTTGTTGATTCATCTCTGATCTCCGGATGTCTCTTGGTTTCCCCCTAAAAACAGGTACTTATTCTGAATAGTGTCCCCTGATGTGCTGACTTTTCTTGCCTTCCAATTTCAGTTCTGCATTCTGTGTTCCCATCCTGTTATCCTTAACATCTGTACCCCAAACCTACTAGATGATGATGATTAATTAAATTCATTAGTCACCTTTTTTTGCCACAGCAGTACAAAGCGACTTAACAATATTTTAAGCAAAAAACCAGCATTAAAACCAGCATTATATATCCCCCTCTTGAAATCCTTTTCCTATGTATAAGATGCTGTCAGCATATGTTTATATACTGAAACGTGTTTTCGCCGAAATGGTAAATCTAAAACTCCCAGCACACTGTAGGTGGAGGTAGAGCAGAGCTATCACAGCTAGTAGCTGTTGAGAGCCAGGTGCTCCATAAATTTGTATAATCCTCTTAAAGCCAGCCATGTTGGTGGCCCTCCTTGCCTGCTGAGGGAGCAAGTTCCATAGTTGCTGCCTGGAGAAGAAGCTCCTTATCTGTCCTGACTCTTCTGACATTCAGCTTCATTGGATGTGCCTGAGTTCTATTGTTATGAGGGGGCGGGGGAGAAAACTTTATTTTATCCACTGTAAGCACACCATACATAATTTTAAACCCCTCTATCTTATCTCCTCTTATTCACCTTTTTTCCTAAACTGAAAATCCTTGAATATTGTAACCTTCTCTCCTTGGGGAGTTGTTCAAGCCCCGTGGTCATTCTGGTTGCTCTTTTCTGAACCTTTTCCAACTCTACAATATCCTCTTTGAGGCAAGGCAACTGTACACCGTATTCCAAATGCAGAACTATAATATTGTCAGTTTTATTTTCAGTTCCTTTCCTAATTACAGATATTGCACACTGGGTTGGCATCTTCATCAAGCTATCTGCTATTACCTTGAAGGTCTCATTCCTCGTCACTTACCGCCAGATCAGAAACCCATGTGAAATTAAGATACAGTGGTACATCGGGTTAAGTACTTAATTCGTTCCGGAGGTCCGTTCTTAACCTGAAACTGTTCTTAGCCTGAAGCACCACTTTAGCTAATGGGGCTTCCTGCTGCTGCCGCGCCACTGGAGCATGATTTCTGTTCTCATCCTGAAGCAAAGTTCTTAACGCGAGGTACTATTTCTGGGTTAGCAGAGTCTGTAACCTGAAGCATATGTAACCCGAGGTACCACTGTATTTTTTTTACCCCAACGTGCATCACTCTACCCTGTTTACATTGAACTGCACTTGCCATTTTACCACCAATTCATTCAGTTTTGGAGGGGTCCTTTTGGAATTATTCAAACTCTCTTTTTGTTTTAATGACACTGAACAATTTTGTATCATCAGCAAACAGGGCCACTTCACTGCACACCCCTAAACCTATATCATTTATGAACTAATTAAAAACACAGGTCCCAGTGCCAATTTCCATGTTTGCATTTCTCTCCATTTGGAAAACTGTTCATTTATTCCTCTCTGCTTACTGCTGCTTAACCCATTTCTGATCCACAAGAAGAGCTTTCCTCTTATTCCATGACTGCTAAGCTTACTCAGGAGTCTTTAGTAAGGTACTTTGCTGAAAGCTGTTTGAAAGTCGAAGTATGTCATTTGGCTCAACTCAAGCTATATGCTTGTTGACACTCTCAAATACCTAATAGATTTGTGAAACAAGATTTGGCCTTGCAGAAGCCATGCTGACTCTACTTCAGCAAGTCTTGTTCTTCTAATGCTTGGTTATTTTTTATCTTTAACAATACCATCCTAAAGGTAAAGGTAAAGGGTCCCCTGACCATTAGGTCCAGTCGTGACCGACTCTGGGGTTGCGCGCTCATCTCGCTCTATAGGCCGAGGGAGCTGGCGTTTGTCCGCAGACAGCTTATGGGTCATGTGGCCAGCATCACTAAGCCGCTTCTGGCGAACCAGAGCAGCACATGGAAATGCCATTTACCTTCCCACCGGAGCGGTACCTATTTATCTACTTGCACTTTGATGTGCTTTCGAACTGCTAGGTTGGCAGGAGCTGGGACCGAGCAATGGGAGCTCACCCCGTCGCGGGGATTCAAACCGCCGACCTTCTGATCGGCAAGTCCTAGGCTCTGTGGTTTAACCCACAGTGCCGCCCACGTCCCTAATACCATCCTAATACCATCCTATGTCAATACTAAACCTTGATCACCAGAGGGTCACCATTATCCTCATTGTAACAGGCATTTCTGATGGAGAAGTTTACACTGATTAGTGAGTCTGATCTTATCCTAGCATATGTAATTCTAAAAGGATTGTGTTCTTACCTTGCTTTCGTTACAGAAATAATGCAAAATAAATGCAACTGCTGTTAATGAAAATATAAGCTTTGGAGACAAATTACATGAAATCCTAAATAAAGATTTAAGTATTGAAATTGAAGAGGCAGGCCTTTCAAATTTTCCACTCTAGTTAATATGATTTCTTCAGGTAAATTAGCTTGAAGCGTTAAGAACATCCCTGTTTTACTACAAATCATTATTTCAATTTGATGCAAAATGTCATGGAGATTTCTAGTTTCAAGATCACATATTAATATGACTCAGTGGAAATGTACACAGTAAGCTTTGTGCTTTCTGGTGTTTTCAAATTCAATTATAATCAAACAGCCCTAAAAAGAGACTTCTTTCCTAGTGTAGATTTTTATTACCAAATGGGAAAGATTCTTATGATTCAAAGAATACAAATGTGAAATTTTACTTAAAATGTCTCCTAGTGTTAGTAGGGCAGCCTTTCCTCTCGGCTTGCATATCTGCTTGGCAGGAATGGTTGGTTATTGGGGCACAGATAATAATGACTTGCTTCTAGCAGGCAGCTATGCTTACAGGAAATGAGGGATGAAATTTGAGAAACCTGAGGAACTTCTTGCAAGGCCTCAGGAACTCTTGAAATGGTTCAGAGCAACCTTCTCCAACCTTGTTCCCTCGCTGGGTGAATCATTCTCATTGTGCAGTTATTTGGCTGAATGCCACCCAGTACCTCACAAAATATTGCCTCTGAAGGTGAAGATTTCGTTTAACTGTACTTCATACCACCATTTATACTAATAATTAATCCTTCCCGGGTGGCTCCTTCTGTAGCCAAAAGCACAAGCCACACACAAGAGGAAGGTACAGAAGTGCAGAAAAACTTGAGAAAACAAATTAGGAAGGTAAACACACAGAAAGCCCAGCGAGGACATAGCATGCTCAATGGCGATGGAATGTTGCCTGGCTTCGAGGAAAAAACAATGTCCATATCACATCTGTTAAAAAATAATAGCTGGAATGTATTACGGCAATAACAACACAAACATTTGAATGTATGACAGCATCAGAAAAGCGACGTACAGAAGTAGTTCGCTGCTGACTGCTAAATTCTGATATCCTGCCATGGTACTCTTTGAGGTACAAGGACAGGCAGTGCCAGGGTAGATCTACACAAAGGAAAATACCCCCGCTATAAATAAGTCAGAAATTAATTCGTTATAACAAAAGAAAAAAAGTTATGTAAAAATTGCATAGAAATTTTATTTTGCTCTCTGGCGCTTTCTGGTGTTGCATGTTTGTAATACATCCAAAGCTTTTTTCTTTTATTTTTCCTAATGTAGCTGAATCCCCAGAGTGAAAAGTGGGCGCAAACATTGTGCTTGCTTTAGATCCATATTATATCATGGCAAGCATAACTTTATTTTGGATATTTTAACTGATGCAGAGAGACATTTTCAATACTGTTCCAAATGTATTTTATTGTCTTACAGGACAAAGTGGATCTTGGCGAGTTGATGTTTTCACTTTGCTATCTTCCAACTGCTGGTAGACTAACTATTACTATAATAAAAGCTAGAAATTTGAAGGCCATGGACATAACAGGAGCATCAGGTAGGAATGTTTTTTCATTCCAATTTTAATGTACTATTTAGAAAGTAATCATACAAGTTTAGCATATGCCCATCCTAGCATACTCTTTCCTTTGAGTACTATAAACGCAGTAGTTTGTTAGAGGGGGAAGTACATTTGGTCCTGAACCATTTCATCAGTATTTTTCTGTACTGAGGTAGTGGAATATCCCAGAGGCACATCCTTGCAAAAATGTGCAAGGGGTCTGCAGTGATCCTCTTTTAAAACATTGTCAGCAGTACTTTGTTACACAATTAATCAAAAGTATAGCCAGGCATCAGGGATAAAATAACTTTGCAGAGTAGAAATACATCCCAAACTGACCTGAAATTGCAGGTAAGACACGCAATCCACCCATTACCAAACTACATGGCCTGTTTTAATTGGGGTAGAAAAACCACCCCAGTTTATTTCCAATGCTTCTTGCAAGCATTTGAGTTGGAGGAGCCACACACTGTCATCATATGTACTGAAGAACGGCAAAACTGTGATTCTGCCATCTACTTTGCACCATGATACGGTGGTCAACAGAGGGCAGAAAAACTAGACATCATCCCGCAGTACAGTGCCACTACAGGTTTTGACTATCTCATTTTGGGTTGTGGGTGTGGCATATTTTATTGCATATTTCTAATCCTTTAACAAATTCTGTATTTCAAATCAACCCTAGTTTTCAAATGGAGATCCTATTGAGGTATAAATCTTCCCCCATGAATAGTGTCATCTAAGGCACAACGGAGAGCGAGGTTATTAGCTGTAGAACATTACTTTTATTTAAAATACAGATGACAAGATTATAAGGAAAAGGTATCAGAGAAACAAATTTGGTGCGTTATTGCTTTAAACTTGTGATTATTTTGAAATAAACCAGTATGCTTGTTATGTCCTTCACACAGATCCCTACGTGAAGGTTTCACTGATGTGTGAAGGGAGACGATTGAAGAAGAGGAAGACTTCCACTAAGCGGAACACCCTTAATCCTGTTTATAATGAAGCCATAGTCTTTGATGTCCCTCCAGAAAACATTGACCAAATTAACTTGTTTATAGCCGTTATGGATTATGACCGGTGAGATATCTGGACATCTCTTCAGACTAGTGACCTAATTGAATCGAATGACAGTAGATGGATTTGGGTGGACTTAGAATGAGTGATGGACAGAGAGTGTAAGCAGTGCCGGATTTACGTATAAGCTAAACAAGCTATAGCTTAGGGGCCCACTTTCTTGGGGGCCCCAAAAAAATTAAAGGGGAAAAAACCTGGATGTACATTTCCAAAATATAATATACTTCTTCTTAATTGTATTTCAGTTCAACAATTACTTTGATAAAGTACATATTTTGTTAAGTGCAAATGGCTTTAGATACCTGTTAGGTCCATAAATTACCATATAGCATATATTCAACACAAAAAACAGTGACAATTTGTTGTTGACAAAGGACAGCTGGACATATAAAGGGCCCCATTACCTTCAGTAGCTTAGGGCCTCATCAAACCTAAATCTGGCCCTGAGTGTAGGTTGACAGTGTGGCTGTGAGAGTTAGAGAGACCAAAGGAGAAATGTGATGAAGGAGATATTAAATTATATATTTAAAAGAATTTAGGATAGTCTAAGATAGCCATGCTAAGTTGGGAAACTGGAACTATTCAGATTCTGTATATAAAGACTGCTTGTTCCGCATGTTATGTTCCTTAATTCACATCTGGGTGGATTCTCAGATAAATATGTTTCATCCCATGCATTTGGTGTATGTGTAACTTGAGGTAATATAAGCCAGTAGGTGATGGCAGCAGGTATTTTGAGAGAGATCTGGACTCAGTAGAGCAGCTGTGGAACTGACTTTAGTGACCATTTGGAGGCAGACCCTTGTGAGGGACTGCTGGGAGTGTCACACTCCCCAACTCCTCCTTTACTGGAGTGCTTAAAAATATTGGCGTTTCGGACCAGTTAAGAGAGGTGATAGCCTAAGAACTTGTACACATCATAGGCTGTTCTCTGGATCTGCTCATTGGTGAAATCTCGAAGGCTGGAAAATCAGTTAACATTGGGCAAGTCTTCTTTCTCCTCATTTGCCTCAGTTTGTGTGTGCTTTTTGCCTCATGTGATGGGAAACCTTCCTGGTAGGCTGGAGGTATGATATCTTAAATGGCGCCTCCAGGCTAGGGATACACCAGAACCCAGTATAGATTTAGGTGCAGTAGCAAGGGAGAGGTGTAACACTAGCACACACATAGCATTCATTTCTGGCTTCACCCAACAGAAGCTGCTTTGGTGGGTCCACACTGACAACATGTTCCCTAGAATTAGTGAAAATGTTGAGAGTATGAACAGTAAATGGGACTTTAATAATGTCATTATACCTTTACATGGGGCTTGCAGTTGTCTCCGCCTGCTCTAATTTATACACAAGAATTAAACTTCCATTCCCTGAACACCAAAATACACATGCCGCTAAATAGGTATATGCCTATCACGTGAAGGTTTTTTTTAAAAAACAACAACAGCAACAACTGTAAATTGCATCAGCTAAGGGAGGTTGATAATTAATGGGATCAGAACAAACAGGGGTGTGGGGGTGTTTATTTAACCCTTTCCTCCCCTGCTATGGAGTGAGGAATTTTCTGTGCAAATTTCCTCTTCATGCTTGCTCAGGTCCCATTAGCATTAAGTGCAAAAAGATACATTTAAAGCCATGTCAACTTGAGTCCTTAGATGTGTTTCCAAATGCTCACCCTTGCTCGGAGAGGGTTTGAATTACACGGTTCCTGGATGTGAAATTTTAAGAAATAAATATTATTGAACCTTTTCACAGTGTAGGTCACAATGAGGTCATTGGAGTCTGTCAAGTAGGCAACGATGCGGAAAGCCTTGGGCGAGACCACTGGAACGAAATGCTCTCCTACCCTCGGAAGCCCATCGCTCACTGGCATTTGCTTGCAGAGGTAAGACTCCTTCGCCTGACACACTGCCTTTTCTATTATGCTAGAAGCTCTTAAAATGACCCTAGTGCTGGAGAAAACACCTTTCCCCCCCTCTTCAAACAAGAATCCATTTGCTTAGACTAAATCCTTTTAAGACACATCGGAATCCGGAAGCTTAAAGCAAGACTGATGTAGAGATCAAGCGAAATCTGATCCCGAGAGATTCTATTTTTAGTGCAATGTGAAAATATATCTAAAACTTTGGGTATATACACCAGTACATCCTTGTGTACTGGATTACATCTGTCTTTTACAGATGGTGGTGTCCACTGGATTACACACATGAAGAAACTACTAACAGGGCTTATGGTTATGTTTATATACAAGACAGAAATAATGATTTATTATCTGGTAATAATGTTAGGGGACGCGGGTGGCGCTGTGGGTTAAAGCCTCAGCACCTAGGGCTTGCCGATCGAAAGGTCGGCGGTTCGAATCCCCGCGGCGGGGTGCGCTCCCGTCGTTCGGTCCCAGCGCCTGCCAACCTAGCAGTTCGAAAGCACCTTCGGGTGCAAGTAGATAAATAGGGACCGCTTACCAGCGGGAAGGTAAACGGCGTTCCGTGTGCTGCGCTGGCTCGCCAGATGCAGCTTTGTCACGCTGGCCACGTGACCCGGAAGTGTCTTCGGACAGCGCTGGCCCCCGGCCTCTTGAGTGAGATGGGCGCACAACCCCAGAGTCTGTCAAGACTGGCCCGTACGGGCAGGGGTACCTTTACCTTTACCTTTAATAATGTAAGTCCACGCCAGTGTCCAGAGGGATCTCACATTATGTTGGAATTAAAAACGTCCTCAGAGTTCAGGACATGCAGTTGAAAGCTCTCCTCAAGTTACAATTAGATTCCTCTGTTTCTTTTGTCTTCATTTAGGGCCCTATTCCACAGAAATGTTATGCGGGCCTTCTGCGCATGGATGGCTGCCGAAGAGGCTTCCTCACTCTTTTAACCTATTCAGCAGAAATTTGGCATTCCTGTTGAACCCTTTCTTAGCCATTTTCTCAGGGGCCATTCCGCAGAGTGTCCAAAGGGGTAAAGACATCCCTTCAATTCCATTATTTAACCCTCACCCGCTTTCCCAACCCCAGAATACATTAATCCCAAACCACAAGATGCAAAACTTCTGTTTGTTAGATGGAAATGTACTTTTGTTTCTGAAGCTTTCTGTAGTTTGGATTCTAACATAGATACCCATGTCTATCTGTAACACCCATATTGTCATCTATACTCCTTAAATGAATTGCATTGTTAGCCGTGTTGTTTCAACCCACATAATGCATTTTTTGAGATGCATGGAAAATAAAACATTTTATTGTGATAAGTATTGTCATAGGTGGAAAAAAATGGAATTCCTTTGTTTTATATACCTAACCCCACTTTATATACCTAACCCCATTAGGTCAGTGGTCAAACTATTAGTAGACAGTTTTTGTTTTCATAATGTATGGATTACAATACAGTAGTGATACAGAAGTTCCAGTAAGTTGTGTGTCATATCCCTTTTAACCACCAGTGGCAACTGCCCCCACAAAACCGAGAGAGCAGTACTGTGCCTCTGTGACTGACCGCACCATAGATTTTAAAAATAACACAGGGCTTACTACACTACCCAAAACCGAAAGAGAACGTGTCTCAAGGTGCTGAAGAAATATATAATTGTGTGTTTGTGTGTCTTATTAATTTTAAAATGCAGTTGTACAGTAGGAAAAAATAAGGGGGGAAATCATTAAAGTACAACTGAACAAAGACAGATCTCATATCATTTTTCCTGTAGAACAAGATAGATAGATGAGGTATAAGACCAGGATGCAGAATTCAGAAGAAAAACAGGAACCGTCACAGACTCTCTTCACAGAGAGCCAGTGTGGTGTAGTGGTTAAGAGCAGTGGACTTGTAATCTGGTGAACCGGGTTTGCGTCCCCGCTCCTCCACATGCAGCTGCTGGGTGACCTTGGGCCAGTCACACTTCTCTGAAGTCTCTCAGCCCCACTCACCTCACAGAGTGTTAGTTGTGGGGGAGGAAGGGGAAGGAGAATGTTAGCCGCTTTGAGACTCCTTAAGGGGAGTGAAAGGCGGGATATCAAATCCAAACTCTTCTTCTTCTTTCCAAAAGTCAGGATCATGTGGAGCAGAGGGCTGGAACCCTTTGGAGGTAGAATTACTAAAGTCAGAAATGGAAACCACACATTTGTAAACACGTCCGGTGTAGCTTGGCCTTTGGGCACATTTCAGAACAGCCCAACGTGTTTTGGCCAATGACTGTTTAAAGGTCTTCTTCAAGGGCTACAAAAACACAATAATACACCACATGAATAAAAAACGGAGTGCATATTGAAACTAGAGACTTTGGTGCCACATGGGCTTAAAGAAGACTTGGATTTCCTTCCACACTTGGAGACATGCCCCTGGGGTTGTTGTTGTTGTTTTTTTTTTTTTGCACTGTCATGTTTAGAAGTGAAAGTCCTTGATATTTTTATCACAAATTAACAACACCTGTGTGTGATTCATTAGTAAAGACGCCATTTGCTGCCTTCAGACAACAATTCCAGTTGCCAGCTAAAGTGACAAGATATGTGCAGGCCATTTGTCAATTTAAGAAAGTATACATAGGCTCATATGCAATTTGTATATGTTCTTACAGCCCCTGAAGAAGTCGTCACTTGGTGTGAGGAACCTATGGCCCTCCAGGTGTTACTGAACCAGAACTCCCATCAGCCCCAGCAAGCACGGGCAATGGCTAGGCATGATGGGAGTTGTAGTTCAACAGCATCTGGAAGGCCAAAGGTTCTCCATACCTTTGTAGGCCGAAAACACTTCGGGCTGCTGCGAAAATAAAATCCATACATTTCTTCAACGTCCTGAGAAACACTCTCTTTTGGTTTTGGGTTCATTTTGGATTCTCTCCACTTTTTGCATTTCTTTTTCACTACAGTACAACAAAACTACAAGCTACTCCCACCCATAGCATTTTGAGAATTTGGGTCTCGTGGAATGAGTCATGCACTGAGTAGTTTTGACGATTGGAAACCACCCAAGTACGATTAAAGAAACAAATATAAGAGTTAGATTAAAAAGAATAGACAACAATATTAGGCCTATTCTAGTGGTTTAAAAACATTTGGTGAAAAAGCCTGTGGACTTCACACTTCTCCAGGCACGCATTCAAATCGAAAGCAAACAAAGTAGGTTTGTGGTACGGCCAGACTTGTTGATTTTATGACATGGTAGTCTTTTAGCAAGTTTTGCTATTTAGATTACAATTTGTTTGGCCTAATTCAAATTTGTTATATTTGCTTTGCAGCTCTGATCCTAAATGGTTTGAAAAATCTGAGCCCCTGGTCATCTCCCTTTGGGGAAGGCCGAATAAACTGTAGTCCAATTAGCAAATCTTGGAGAGAGACTTTCAACACAGCAGCAACACCTCATCTGGAGAAAAACAAACAAACAAACCACTAAAGCACTTTTTACATGGTATGCGGAGATTGTTATAAACCAAAATGTGAAATGACTATCAGGCCCTTAATGGAAAATACGTAGACCAATACATCTTTGCTACCTTTCTTGAGGGTGAGGAGTTGGGTATTTTTGTCAATCTGAAAAGCCAGTGCATAGAATGTTCGATATTAATAATGGGCATCACTAAGTAAAAAAGAAAAATCAAAAATACAGTTGTAAGCCACAGTCATTCTGCTATTGGGAGCACTGTCTAGTCATTAAAAAAACTTAGATGAAATATTTATATTCTGTTTGTGAATCCATATTAAGTTGTCAAATAACTGTTCCAAGTTTGTAGAATAAATCATTTCCATAACCATCACTTAATCTTGTCCTGTTAACCATATATACTTCAAGTTGGCATCTGCAATGTATTATTATTTAAATCTTGCATAGTAATATAATAGAATTCAGATTTTTGGGTTGGGTTCAATTCGGCCTTCCTTTTCAGATTGGACCAAAACAGTTCTGGGATGTTGGGGAGCTGGGGATCTGTATTTTTCTTGCTTTCTGGCATGCTTGGGTACAACTGCGCATGCTTGCAAAAGCATCCAAGTCTGAAACATGAATTACTCCAAGCCTTTCCTATCGCCTACTGTTGCCTTGTTTTCTTTGGTAAAAATGCCAACAGCAGAAAGAGTTTGTAGCTCTTTCCTAGCCCACTACCTTCCTGACGGTATCATGAGGATTTCCACACAGCACACGTGAAGCCGCATACTTCAAATTAGTATATTTTAACAAAGCCCATTCTAAAACAGGAATAGTTAAGAACAATAAAAGCAGTAAGAATTGCAAATTAATTTTACTCCCGTCATTTCCTCTAGCTATATATTTTTTCCTGAATAAGAGAAGAAAATAATGACAATTATAGAAAACTCATAGTTTCCAATATGATACTGGGCAAGGTTCAACTAAGTTCTTGCATGCACAGAATGAGGACTGATCACAGAATGGGACTTTCCCCCTTCTCCTCACCTGCATGGACCTCCTAAATTTGCTCTGAAGGATTGAGGAACCTCCAGAACAATATTAGGGCACAGGGGAGGAGATGGGGGGCAGTCCCACTGCGTGAGCTGGCCTCATTCCCCACATGTCTACCCCACTTAGCACCAACTTGAATTCCACCCATTGGATGGAATTAGATATCTATGCAATTGGTTCCTTTTACAGCAGGCCATATGAAATACAGAAACTGTAACGAATTGTGCTGAAATGCATTGCAATTTAAAGCAAACTAAAGGAGCATTTTTTCTTACACCATATTCAGGCGCAGTATCTAGGATCATAAGTCACAGATACGTTTTTTAAAAGATTAATTCATGCATCATGTAGCCTCCTCATAGCCCTCAAGTACAGAACAGGCTATTTCCATCCTGTGACTGTTTCACATATATGGAATGGGTCTGTGTATCATTTACGTATAGATGTTTGCCTCTTTTTAAGGAACCCTAATAAATATACATGTACTTACAAGGTTTCTTTGATGGCTTCTTTCTTTCTTTTTTAAGATTTTACAGCTCCTGAGAGCAGGAAGCAAGTCCCTCATGGCCACACAGGTAAAAATGTTTACACAGAAAAAGATAGCTGGGGGCAGCCAACTTTTTCTATGTACAACTCCCCAGGAAGGGACTGCATGGTATGGTGTACAGTCACTTCTTGGGAGCTTTTTTAAAGGCTTTTTAACCTGCACAGCCACAGTGGACTTAATAGCTGATCAAAGCAGCTGTAAAAGGTTTAAAAAGAAAGAAGGCAGCCCTCAGACCATCTCGTAAGCACTGTTGCCATATCCAGGTGTGTATCAGTTTGTAGATTATGTGGACAATTGCATATATCTACATTCTAATCAACACAAGGGCTGGGGGTGGGGTGGAATGGTTAGGTTTGCTTTTAAAAATCCGAATGAAGTTCCTCCCACCTCCCACCTTGATGAACATTTTGGGAATTTTCTGGCTCCCTCTGCTGCTACATGTCAAATTCCCAGGTGAAAATACAGAACGCTTCTCCCCGTTGGGATTACTTGAGAGGTATATTCATTGTTCTTTGCAGAAGTATTAACTGAGTTGTGAGAACTATAGTCACAGAATTAAGCTGCACGGAGTGTCCCATAATAATTAGCATTGGTAAATATTACTTGAGCTTGTCCTCACACCTGAAATCTCACCCTACGTCCATGTTAAATTTAACGTTGACATTAACCATGGAAGGGTTTGGGACCCAAGACAGGAGTTCAGCCTTCAAATTCTTTTTTCCCCATTTGCAGTGAGCATGCATAAAAGTCCTTAAAAGTGGGATGAATCATGCCATCATTGAAAGCACTGGAGATTATAGCAGCACTTCTGAAATATTAGAGGGTAGGGAGAGACGGCAAGCCTACCTAAACTGCAGGAAACCAGGCTAAAGGAATCAGTGGGATACTTATTTTGGAGCTATCTTTTTCTCAGTGCTCAGTATTCAGGAACACTTAGAAGTACAGCCTTTTTAATATATATATATATTATGGCTAATGAATGGGGAAGGGAGAAAAGTTAAAAGTAGGCATAACTTAAATTGGACCAAAGCAGCCAGAAACATCCTGAGTTATCACAGTGTTCTTTCGTTCTGTCAAGAGCAATGTACTATAAAATGACTGTACCTTAGAGTAAAATTGGAAAAGTAATGGCAGTGGTATTCATAAGGAAAGAATTCTGCCATACAGTCCATTTTTTAAAAAAAATAGCTGCTTCTGTGAAAAACCACAACAGAATAATACTACATAAAAAAAGGGAAAGGGAGAGCATTAACGTCTACTCTACTTTTGTTCCCCCTGTCATTAATAGTTGCTTCCTTCTTCATAATGATGTTTTATAGTTCACACACAAAAAAAAACAGTTGAAAGAAATAAGATGTGCCAAACTGAGGTGTGATATTAATGGAACTATGCATTCCGTGTGGTATATCTTCAAGCATTGCATTAAAAGGTTGTTTCTAATACAGTGGGTTGGGCAAGGAACTGCAGCTGGAAGCAAGCCGGGGTCCTGCAATTCTCTCAAAGGGCCTCCATCTCCGTGAAGGGAAATGAACTGTGTACATCCAAAGGACAGTGATGGGGCCGCACTCAGGAAGGATGGGCAACACGGATGCACACCTCCACTGCTAAATAAGCTAACAAAAACGACGCAGGCAAGGCACGTATAGAAGACGGACTGTAAGCACCTGGGCTCTTTTTCCCCTCTGTTTGTTTTCCATTTCCTCACTGTTTCTGTTTTCCTTTGGCCGCTGCAGAGTGAATACAGGTGGCTAACAAATGGAAACATGCTACGGTGTGCTTGTAGCTGCTTGGAAAGCTGGCTGGCTTTCTCATCTTGCCAGATCAGGAGGCCTGTACCACCACACCTGATCTGAGGAGGAGGGAGTGGTAAAAACCATTGTGACAGCAGTGCTCCTCAGGCATTCTGCATAGTCGTGATGCACACACTTTGCTCTTCACTTTCCACACGATGATTTAAATAAGTGCAGTGGTACCTCGCGTTAAGTACTTAATTTGTTCCGGAGGTCCATTCTTAACCTGAAACTGTTCTTAACCTGAAGCACCACTTTAGCTAATGGGGCCTCCCGCTGCTGCTGCCGTGCCGCCGGAGCACAATTTCTGTTCTCATCCTGAGGTAAAGTTCTTAACCTGAAGCACTATTTCTGGGTTAGCGGAGTCTGTAACCTGAAGCATATGTAACCCGAGGTACCACTGTATTTTAAAACAAGCGGGGAACCTCCATGGGTAGAAGTAACTACCAGGCTCATAAATACACCATCCAATTCACCTTTGTGTGAACCACTAAAGAGGGCTGATGTGGGAGGATGAAACACAGCTAGCTTACTAAGTGGTTACATGCACACCAGGATGCAAATCAGTGATGGGGAGCCCTCAGCCATCCAGATGATGTTGGGTGCTCAACTTCCATCAAACCAGTCGTCATGCTCAAGGATTGTGGGAGTTGTAGTCCAGCAAAATCTGGAGGGCCTCAGGTTCTCCACCCCAATGCACAGGCACATGACTTGGTAAGCAGTAATCTGTATTCACCCATAATTATCTCTCAAACTTGCAATGTTTTGTTTGGTTGCATGCTGGATAGTCCTCTTTCATTTTTATTTTTATTTTTCTTATTTTAGGCTCATCACAAAAGTATGTAAAGAGACCTGTTGTATTTAAATATGACTTTGCTTTGATGACACACAGACATTGTACTATACTTTTAATATTTGTTGTTCAATGAGTAGTCCTGGTACATCTATGTTCAGTGTCTAATTTGGAGCGTAAACCCACCTCCTTGTCAAGGCTTTGTTAGTTTGGTGGACTTTTTTTCTCTTCGTTCAGTAGAGGTAATGCATGATTGATTTGCAGTAACAGTTTGAGGGGCGAAATAAATTTAACATTTCTTAATTTTATAAAAAAGTATAACATTCTTATAAACACAAGTAAAATGTACTGTGGTTTCATTTATATAGATCTCGTCTGTATGAATTATTTTGTTCTTAATAAAATGACGTAAGAAATTGTGCTATTGTAATTTATGCCTATTTTGTATTTATATATTAAAGTTGAAGTGAATGTTTAACAGCCCACATTCAGTGCTTTAAAAGTGTTTTAATTCCATGTTCCCTGATAGCAACCTGTGGAGTAATTTCCCCGAATCAAAGCCATAAATTAAGGCTGGAAGCAAAATAAGCAAGTACCATATGCAACAAGGAGTGGACAATGCAACAGATACATTATTTGGGTTCCCTGTTGGAATGGAAATCTGCAGGATAAAACACAGTTTCTGCAGAGTTAAGTATTATTTCCTTAAGCACCACTGAGCAATTTAAGGGCAGTGTTGCAATTTGGTTCACCCACCCACCATGTTTCACATTTTAATTTTTCAAAGTGACAAGAGTATAATTTTCTTGTTTAAATGAGTAAGACTGACTTTCTATCTGCCAATGTTTGACATGTCATTCAGGGAAATTGTTAGGTGTGCTTAGGTAGAGTGTGGTCATGCATGGAAAAGAGGATTTGGGAATAACTCAGACCCGTTCTGAGCAAACTCAGACATGTTTCTTTTACTCACCGAGAGACACTCAGGGTGACTAATGCTGAGAACCTATGCACACTTACTTGAGAGTAAATCCCACTAAACATGGTGCTGCTAACTTCCAGGTAAACATACATAGTACAGTGGTACCTCGGGTTAAGTACTTAATTCGTTCCGGAGGTCCGTACTTAACATGAAACTGTTCTTAACCTGAAGCACCACTTTAGCTAATGGGGCCTCCTGCTGCCGCCGCCGTGTCGCCGGAGCACAATTTCTGTTCTCATCCTGAAGCAAAGTTCTTAACCTGAAGCACTATTTCTGGGTTAGTGGAGTCTGTAACCTGAAGCGTATGTAACCTGAGGTAACCCGAGGTACCACTGTATTAAAAAGTAAAGCAATATACCAGTTGCAGGGAATCAAGTGGATAAAGTTACTGCTCTCATGTCATCCTTGTGGATTTCCTGTAGGCATCTGGGGTTAGGCACAGTGAGAACAGAATGACTAGATGGACCTTTGACCAGATCCAGCAAAGCTGTTTGTATGTCTTTCTATCATAGGACATATTTTATAGACATGGGATGACTTGTACAAGGTTCCTGTCATGAATAAACATGAATGCATCATATGAATAGTTCACCCGTTCTGTAAGCTCCTTTCCCTACTGTGTTCCAATACTTCCATGGAAAAGCATGCCCTTTTAAGGTCCACTATTGTGGTCCACCCTGAGCATTTATAAATATAGCTTCTGGCTTGACAAATAAACACACACAAAAAAAATCTATAACCCATTCGATGGTGAGGTAAAGCATAAGCATGCACTTGTTTTTCCTGTCTAATTATAAACAGATGAAGTCACTTCCCGCTAGCTCCATCTCCCCCCAAAGCCATTTGTCAATGCCTGGTTTCCTTCTATTATAAGAAAATAAGTAAAGATATTTCAGACTTTTCTCAAAAGCCATACAAATAGAAAAGGTTATGCACTTTAGCTAAATGCCATTTTACTTCTGTTTATATTGTAAATGTTGGTAATGTTTTCTGCAACATAATCTGCATAAAATATGCAGGCATTTCTCCCCTTCCATTTATCTCTCTCTCTCTCTCTCTCTCTCTCTCTCTCTCTCACACACACACACACACACACACACACACACACACTTCTGGAAGTCTTGAGCTGAAGCCCCATTGTTTCCAATTTCTCAAGGTTGATCACGAGGGCTGCTTATGATTCAAAAATGTCACATTCAGCACCATGAACTATTCTCACACAGATTTGTTAAATCTGAATTGCAGGTATTCCTACTAAGTAGTCCTTGGAACGATAGGAAGAGCAGGAGTGCCTTCAGTTCCTTGATCCCCGAGCCGGTGATCTGAGGCCAAAATGATTTCTAGATTCAAGCGCTTATTATCTGTCTCCAGTGTCTCTTCCCATTAACATTCATTCCTCCCAAAAGGAGGACTATTGTTCATCCCAGTGTGCAAATATCCACACTACAAGCTGGCAGATATAATGTGGCATGCATACAGGTCAACATCCATTATCAAAATCAATGCAAACTCCTTGGGTTGCAGGCAATTCTGACCCTCTGCTGATGAAGGCTCTTTGGTCCAGCAGGGGCTTCTGCGTATGGAAAGCAGAGAAGGCAGTTCCTTTCCACTCCCTTTCTCTCTGTGTCCCCTCCCAAAAATTTCCCCAGACACTTGCAGGAGCCCCTGGAACATGGAGCATGGGAGGTAATGGGGAGAACTGCAAGAGAAAGGGGGGACTTACAAAATTCACCACCTCCCGCTTTCTGTTTGCGAAATCCTCTCTTGGCTCAGCTGGATACACAAACCATTGTGCATATCTGATACATGAAGGCACTAAAAATAAATCAGTTTATTGCATGATTGCCATTTAAATGTTTTGCTTTTATTAATACAGGTTTGGCTTTATTGAAGTACTTATCTGATAGATCACGGTTATCATAAACTGCTTCAACTTATCTGATAGATTTGCCACAAGCCACAAGCTGGTTCAGCATTAAGTCACCAAGTTTGAACAAAGGAATAGACTAAGATAAACTGCAACACTACGAAGGCCAACAAGGCCTGCCCAACAAGGAGCTCAAGGGGGCACACACAGGTCTCTCGCTACCATTTTATTCTCGCTTCTGAGGTAGGTTTGTCTGAGGGACAGCATTTGGGCCAAGGTCACCCAGTGAGCTCATGACTAAGTTAGGATCTGAACCTCAGTCTCCCCAGTCCTTGCATGACACTCCACAGCCCCACACTGGCTTTCGGTGAACCACAAAGCTGAATGCGACCAATCTGCGACCAAGCCAAACTCGGCCTATCAGCCATATATGGCAGCCTATCAGGGGCCCCAAAACTCTGTCAGCCTAGGACTGTGAAAGCAGACGTAGTTAAGTACCTGGTAGGTCACCATTGTGGACATGTTTGGCTTCCTCCTCAGTTTCAAGTTGTGCCTGCAGTGTGAGAGAGACTTTGCCTGTCCCTTAATGAAAAAAAGGGCATTTCAGGAACCATTTAGAATCGCCTTTGTCTCTGTCTTTGAGCTGATTTGCCCTTTTAACACAGTGATCAATGATCTACAGACTATATATAGAAGAGTTTGCCATTTCCAATTTAATTAAACCACAAGCCTCAATTTCATTCATGGAGTCACCAAGAAGGTCACATATTTTAATTTATGTGGTAAAACTTAGAATAC